CTTGGAAGAAAAATCTCAATGGACTAAGAAAATGCTCCAGGGAATGGCAGTTTTACAGGTTATTTTATTTTAAAAATATTTTTATTGATTACAGAGAGGAAGGGAGAAAGAGAGAGATATAGAAACATCAATAATGAGAGGGAACCATTTATCAGCTGCCTTCTACATGCCCGATCCTGGGGATTGAGCCTGACACCTGGGCATGAGTTGAATCCTGACCTCCTGGTTTATAGCTCGATGCTTAACCACTGAGCCACACTGGCCGGGCACTTCCAGCTTATTTTATACATTAGAATCAAAGGAAGAAACATTTAAGGAGGGTAATGTAGGTCGGTGCAAGATAATGAGTAACTAACATTTATAGCACAGAGAAATGGTAATTGGGAACCAGGTAACCATGGAAGGTTCTGTGACTTCCTGCTCTGGTGGCAGCTGTGCCCTGAAGGGTCTGGAAAATATGATTACTCTTGACATTCCAAACATGTGTTATCTTAGGTGCACAAAGATCATAGCTCATTTCAAAGGTGTTCAGGTAAGCTGATGCTCTATCCACTGAGCCAAAGTGGCTAGGGCTAAAAATTCAATTTCTAGCTACATGCCGCGAGAGGCCACCAGGTTGGACAGCACAGGTGTGGAGCATTCCCACCACTGCAGAAGAGTCCATTGGATAGTGCTGTGATGGATGAAAACACAGGAGAACATTTCCCCAACCTTACAGTGGTCAAGTGATAATTGGGATTCAGCATTCTCAACTGGCATTTGGAAGAATAATTGAACGTTTTCAACTAGTCAGGCTGTATTGCATATTTTTGTTTCATTAACATTTTGTTTCACATAGAGTTAAGTTCAGAGAATGTGGGCTAAGCGATTTTTTTTTTTTTTTTCATTTTTGAAGTTGTTTTGAACTTTGACTTGCAGCTGGTTTGGGATCCTTTAAACTTTTTCAAGGGATTTTGGGAAAAGTGTGTACTCTGTGCACAGTGCATTTTATATGAAAATTCAAATCAAATCACCAGCGGTAGGATTTGTCTTTTCCACCCTCATTTTGCATTTTCTATGCAATCTATGGCGTTTGCCCTGTCCAGATCCCCTGTGGCCACACTCTCCTCTCATTCCACAGGCTTAATTCTCACATCCTCAGGCAAACGGATGTTTCGCCCACGTAAGGTGCATTCCCTTACCCATTTCACTCTGCTTTCTGCGGCATGAACACCGTGTTGTGCACCTTCCTGGGCTGTGCTTTTCAGCCCCTCACCCGCACACTTCCTCGACATGTTGTTGCTGGTATGTCCCTCACAGAAGCAGCCCACTCTGAGCTCCTGGCCTTGGTTCCAGCCAGCACCTGCCCAGGTCACTCCATGAGGCAGGCTGTGCTGGGCACCTGTGGCTTTGGCAGGAAGAGCCTCGATGACCCGGAGGGTGGGGGGAGGGGCATAACGGATCAGAGGAGCCAGGCCCAAGATGGCAGGAGGTCTGAATGCTGTGCCAGCCCCGCACCGTACCACTGGCTAGAACCAGTGCCTAGCCCATGGCTGCCAGCCACAGCCCACCTTAGGAATGCTGGTCCAGCATTGGGGAGACCCAAGGGCCCTCCTGGGGAAAGGCTACCCACCGGCTGACCTGCTGTAGGCAGGAGCAGGCTGTCAGAAGCCTGGTGGGCTGCTCTGAAGGGCTGACCCACACCCCTTTCTTCAAGTTCAGAGAGGACATCTGCAGGTTCGTTTTCTTCTCAGTAGGGGCTCCTTTTCTCTCTAAAGTCAAGGCTGAAATTCCTGGCTATGATTTTGCTGTGTAACTTTGCAAGATTTGGGAAAACAGGGGGAAGGAGACATGGGCTCTCTCTGTTATTTATTACAACTCCATATAGATCTATAACTATTTAAAAATAAAAAAAAATTAAAAGATGAATAAGCCTGACAGATTATGTAATTAAAGAAATAGCTACCCAGATGTAAGAAAGTCCAACTATGCAGTGCAGAGTAGTTTATTCAGCTTTATTGCTATATCCAGGTAAACTGTTTATATGCAATTGTTAAGGGAAGAGGGTGGGATGGGAACCAGGTGGAGGGGAGTTATGGGGGGCGGGGGGGAGAAAGAGGAACAACTGTAATAATCTGAATAAAAATTTATTTAAAAAAAACAACACACCTTTTATTGACTGGTTGGTCTTGACTCCTTCCCCACATCACAGTAGCTGTTGTCTCTACAATGCTGTTCATAGACAGTCCAAACTCAGTAGCTGTCAGGAGAAAGCATCCTTCCCCACCCAAAGAGCAGTGGGAGGCCAGGGGTGGGCCTGTCCAGGTGGGCTCTGAGCTGCAGGGGGTCCTCCCCCTCACTGGTCCTCCTTGGCCACCTTTAGAATGAGAAGCCCAGTCTGGAGAGCTGGCCCTTCCCAATACCTATTCCAGGAAGGGTGTCCAGGAAAAAATGGGTATTGGGGGCACAGGGGACACTCTGGAAGGGGTGCCAGGAGGTGGTGAGTTGGGGGCAGCTCTTCAGGATAGGGGGAAGCAGGCCTGGGTAGGCCAGGGTTGGGCTGAGTGCTGCTGCACACAGTACAACAGAGGAGCCTCTCTCAGCTCTTTCGAGAGAGACAGGGTCTCTGTGGGTCTGCACACAGACCCTGAGCACCCTGTGAGCAGGTGTGACCGGAGCCCAGGGGTGGGGACGCTGGGGGTCAGTACTGCTGGGCCATCCCTCCATGCCATGTCCACCCAGGGGCCAGGTCTTCCTCCCTCCGTGACTCTTGCAGCAGCTACCCCCACCCTCACATGTCTGAGGAATGCATTCTTAAGCACAAAGAAACACTTAAAGCTACAGCGACGAAAACACAGTTTTCCATTCCCCAAAGCGGCACTCACCTCTAAACACTGGGTTCTGCACATCTCTAGATTTGGCGATTACACTATTAGCAGCATCCCGGAGCCTCCTGAAGCCAACACCCAGGCTCCTGTGACTGCTCCAGACAGCTGGCCGCCCGCTGTTCCCCGAGAGCTGCCTCCAGGTTACAACGCCCGGGGGGTGGGGGGGGCGCTGTCACCCAGGCCTTGTCACGCCCCGCAGCCCTGGCTGGCTCTTCTGGGAGCAGGGGTGATCAAGGCCCCTCCACCGTCAGGCCCTCAGGCATACAGCTCCCGTAGGAACTCTGGGCCTTGTATGGCCAGGAAACTTCCAGAAGCCCTGCCTGGCATGGCAGCTTTAGTCAGTTGGGGGGATTGGAGAAAGGCGTGGGCCAACCAGAATTTTATCTGACCCCACACATGCCAGTTAGAAACCACCAGGGGAGGGACAGGAGGGAGGAAGCCGTGGGTCCTCAGGTACTCACTGCGGGGGCAGGAGGCCATAGAAAGACTGCTTGCTGGGCATCTGTGCCCGCCTGTGCTTGTGGGCACGACCTGTCCTGTTCCAAGGCCACATCGTCCGACACATCACCCTGCCCCTGTGGGCAGGGTCCTTCTCGCTGAGCCCCCATGGAGGTCAATGACCTGCCTGCTCAGGACCCATGAGCCAGTCAGTCATCCTGCTTTCCCCTCCCTTTTCTCATAGCAGCCCCCTGTTGCTCCCCTAGGGGCTGACTGCTGGTCTGGCCCATCCCCCCAGTGGTCCCCAGGCCCATGGGCCAGATCCCTCGGGTGGGACCTGCACACCAGGCATGGAGAGGGAAAGACAGACAGAGGCCCTTGGCTTTGTCCCTTCCGTTTGCGGAGCGGGGCCTGCGGGGTTGGGCTCCCACGCACCTGTGGAGACCTGTGTGGAGGAGCCAGCACAGATGGAGGGGAACAAGAGGGGAGTGCTCCAGCCGGGGGGTGTGCTCTCTCCTTACCTTCAAAGAGCCACTCCAGGCCCCACGTAGGGGCCTTTTGAAGGCCTGGGGACAGTCCAAGGCTGGAGCACAAGGTTCAAGGCTGGGTTCCTGGGTGGGGGAGTGCGAGAGTGGGAGCTTGGTCAGGCACACGCGCGCGCACGCGCGCGCACACACAAACACACACACACACACACACACACACACACACTATGAGGCCCATGAGTCCTCACACAGCCCTGGTGGGTCTGCTGAGCACACACTAGTCTCCGGACAGAAGACAACCCAGGCCCCAGGGCTCCTCATGCGTTATGGGCCTCCCTGCACCCTGGGCAGACCCAGTCCAGAGGGCGAGCTAGCCTTGGGGGAGTAGGGAGGATCACTGGCACAGAGACTGTGGGTGTCCTCACGTGGGACTGGCTACTCACTTCTGGGGGAATTCAAGAGGGCAGCCGCCTGGGAGGGGTGCAAAGACGCACCCCTCCCCACATCTGTCTTTGTTCCTCCAGATATGAGGTCTGGGTCCTGTGCACACTGGCCAACTAATCCAACCTCCTCCTGCCTGCTGCACCCTCAGGGCCTCTCTAGATTAGCTGGCGCCAGCGTGCTCCTCCCTTCTCCCCGTGTCCTCCTCCCTGCATGCTTCCCACCGCCACCAGCTACCTGCCCAGTGGTTTAGCCTGGGACCTGCCACGCTGCTCTCCCCAATTAACTTTCCTTGCTGAGAGGTGGGGAGGGGTGTGGATAACCCTGGTCACATTTGAGCACTACCACCACTGTCCCCCCCTTCCCCTCCAGTCCCCCTCAGTCCTGAGGGGGCAGGGAGGGAATTCTGGGAGGCACCAGTTGAGTTGGGGGGTTGGGGGGTGTTGCTGTCTGTGACCCCCAGAGCAGGTATCTGTGCCTGGCTGAAGTCCTGAGGCAGCCACCAGGCCAAATGTGGGTCAGGCTGTGCTTGTGACCGGCACAGGCTGCCTCTGGGGGAGGAGAGAGAAATCGTCACACCCCCAACAGTCCTGTCCTGCCTGGCCCGATGACCCGTGTCTCTGGCTTTAGTTTGGGGGGTTAAGTCAGGAAGGGGACGTTTTAAAAATGAGCCAAAAAGAAAAGAGGACATGAACTTGCTTAGGATGGCAGGCGGGGGCCGGCACTCATCCAAGGGGCGGTCGCAGCTGGGGTGAGGTCTGGGCGCTGGGCGGCCTCCCTCCCCGTGGGTAGGAGGCAGCTTCGGACCGGGACGTCTTCCACTCGGGACCCGGGCGCTGTGTGGGTAGGCGCGAGGGGGCTCGGGAGGGGACTCCGGGAGGGGACTCCGGGAGGGGTGGTGCGGTCAGGGCTGCGGCTGGAGGGGGTGCGGGCGAGGTGGGGGGAGGGGGGTCCTGTAGGAACTCTGGAGGGGGCTGCAGCCGGGGTGGGGGGAGTGGTCTCAGGGTGAGGTGGTCAGCGGGGAGGGGACTCCGGGAGGGATGGTGCGGTCAGGGCTGCGGCTGGAGGGGGTGCGGGCGAGGTGGGGGGAGGGGGGTCCTGTAGGAACTCTGGAGGGGGCTGCAGCCGGGGTGGGGGGAGTGGTGCGGGTGACCCAGCAGACTCCGGGGGTGGGGGGTGGGGGAGGGAGTGTCAGCGGGGAGGGGGCTGCAGCCGGGGTGGGGGGAGTGGTGCGGGTGACCCAGCAGACTCTGGGGGTGGTGGTGTCAGCGGGCAGGGGGCTGCAGCCGGGGTCCCCGAAGGGCGCCCAGGGCTGGGCGGGCGCTCCGCATTCAGCGCCCAGACCTGCTCCGCCAGGGAAATGCGCGAACGGGGGAGGTGACGGGGGGGGGGGGGGGGGCAGAAGACACACAGGACTAAGACCCGAGACCGAACCGCACGCGTGTGTGTGTGTGTGTGGCCTGGATTCACCTCCCGGAGCCTGGAGAGGTGGCGGGGGGAACTAAGACCCGAGACGGAACCGCGCGCACGTGTGTGTGTGTGTGTGTGTGTGTGTGTGTATTCACCTCCGGAGCTGCAGAAGGACACCCTCCTGGGCTAGGGCGGGGCCAAGGGGCCACGCTTCTTCCCGGCAGCGCCCGCGCTCACGGCCGTGGGGAGTTTTGGGCGCTGATGGTGGCGTGCAGCAGCCGGTACCTGCCTGGGAGCGGGCGCACCTCTCAGGTAATCCACCTGCAGGGCCGGGGATGGAGGGATGCGAGCCGGGGACTGGCCGGGGGCGCGGGTTCCGGTCTCCACGTGCATGCAGCGGGGCGCGGGTTCCGAGCCTTAGGGATGAATGCAGAGGGGTGCGCGGGCCTGGGGCGCAGGGTACCAGCAGGAGCACCGGCTCTGGTTCTCGGGGGTGCATGCAGGCCGGGCTGCGGCTGCCCGGGGAGCCTGGAAGTAAATGCATGTGGCGGGAGGCGGCAGGCGGGAGGGGCAGGCGGCATCTCAGGGGTGCATGCAGGGGGCGCAGGCCGGGTCCCGCGTGCAGGCAGCTAGGCGCGCAGGGATTCAGGCCCGTTCCCGCCAGCTGAGGCTGGGCTCCACGCGCAGCACCCACCTCTGCCACTGTCCACGTGTTAGCCCATCCCCCGCCGCTGCCAACGCAGCGTTTCTGTTCCGTGGTCCCGGCGGGCGCGCTCTGCCATGCGGCGGGCTGACCTCAGATCGGCTCCCCACCGGGTCCGGCTTGTCGGTGCTGTGAGCGCTGCCCTGACCTTCCTCCCCTGGCCCCGCGGCCTCAGGGTGCCTCCCTGGCACTGGCGGAGGGTCACGGGGACATGGCGCGCGCTGGCACCTCGCCGCCCGCGCTGTGGCTGCGGAGCCCTCTGGGCGCGCGCTGGAGCTCCACCCAGAGCCTGCGCGGCGTGCCTGCAGCCCTCTCCCGAGGGGCCCGCCCAACCCCTGAACCAGAGACTGTCCCCAAGGGTCCTGTTTACTTCCCCTGGAGCAGTGTTTCCCAAACTTCTCTCATGATGGGAATCACCTGGTGGAGTTGTTAAACTACAGATTCCTGAATCCCAACTAAGAAGTGCTAAACCAGAATTTTTGGGAACATATAGGTAAATTGTATACTTAACTAGCGCACTGGAGAACCAGCAGAGAGGCCTACTGTATGACTGTGTGGTCATATAGTAGGACGCCCAAGTTGAATAAGACTTAAGGCAAGTGAGCTCCATTCAGGGCACAGGTTAGAATCTGAGCCAGCTCAGAAACCCGGAATGCATCCAGACGAGGCTCATTTCCACGCTGCCCAAAGTGCAGGAGGAATAAAGTTCATAGAGCTGAGATCTGAGCACTCTGCCACGAGGTGACCAGGCGCCCCTTGCCCCCGAAGGCGATGGAGGGCCCCTGGCAGCCCAGACTGAATCTGCAGCACCAGGAACCTCTGGCCCAGCAGAACTGCCTCCCGCTGGAGGACTGGGAGCCCTGTACCCAGGCCCCAGCTGCCTCAGCTGGACTGCATCCCTCCGCCATTTGTCCTCTTGGCTTGGCACTGGTAAAATTGCTCTTTTTCAGAGGGTGCCTGGGTGGATTTAATAACCCCAAGTATTAGTTATCTGTGCTGGTCAAAGGTGACCAACACCTCCAGGGTGTTTTAAACTTGTGAGTTGGGTGATAGTGGATTTAATTTTATTCCTTGGGACACAGAACTTTGTCATGTAACCTGGGAGGTTGCAAAGATTTTCTTTCTTTTCTTTTTTCTTCTTCTTTTATCAGCAGGTATTTTAAAATGTAAGAAACCTCCCTGGGTAACCTGGGAGAGTAGTAGCTGGTTTACTCTTTTATTTTTTATTGATTTTCTAGAGAGGGAGGGAGTGGGGAGGAGAGACTGGGACATTGATTGGTTGCCTCTGGTACATGCCCCAACTTGGCATCAAACCTGTGACCTTCCGTTGCAGCGGGAGTACAACTGACGTGACTCCACCACTATCCCGGGCCCAGTCAACAACAATCCAAAGAATGTCCAGGTGTCTTCCCATTTGGCCCTCTACATCTCACCCTTTCTTTTTTAAAATTTAAACATTAAGAATAAAACTCTAAATTAAAACAGTTGCAAACAATGCCAATGCAAAACAACAATATGAGAAATCAGAACTATGGACATATTAAGATTTTTAGCTACCAAATGAAAGAAAGTCTCTTTTGCTGCTGGTGTATATTTACTCAGAGTCCTTGGACTTGGGTGCGCAAGACTTTGCAGAAGACTGGAAGCTAACAGATGCTAGCATGAGCAGGAACATGGTTGAAGAAGTAGCTTCCACTTTAGTCTTTACCTTCTTCACATGACTCCATGTTGGCACCACAGTCCCTTGTGTAGCTTTCAGTTTTCTTCTCCTTCCGCTTTGCTGTCAACGGGCAAATCTCAGTCCTTTTGGGTGAAGGGACACAGGAACTTCTCTGAGTCCATTGAGGCGACGGACGTAATGCTCCAGCACCCGAATTGGCTGCATTGCTCCTTCTGGAACGATATAAAATACAACCTCTTCCCCACCTTATCACTGAAGCTGATAAAACTCTTGTCTGGCTTATGCTTCCTTCCACCTAGTGACTCGGTGGAGGCTACTGTACAGGAGGCCTGATGCCTTTCGCCTGCTGTACGATCCTCTGCATAAAATTTCAAATCTTAAGGTATAAAAAGCATGACAGAGCCTCTCTTGAGGTGACATAACATCTGTCTCTCCTCCCCCCCCCCCCCTTTTTAAATAAATTATTTTACGCCAAAACCAGTTTGGCTCAGTGGTAGAGTGTCGGACTGCGCACTGAAAGGTCCCAGGTTAAATTCCAGTCAAGGCCATGTACATTGGTTTTGGGCACATCTCTGGTGGGGGGTGTGCAAGAGGCAACTGGTTGATGTTTCTCTCTCAAACGTCTCATAGACGTTTCTAGCTCTCTATCTCTCTCCCTCCTCTCTGTAAAAAATATCAATAAAATATATTTTTAAAAAAATAATAAAAAAGTAAATTATTTTAAGAGTATGATTGGCTCTTTCCACCATTGAGTGACATACATTTTACCAGATTTGATTAGGCTTAAGTCCTTGGGGATTTACCCCTAAAGTTGGCACAGAGAGGTGGATAACACACTGAGGACATTGCTCCCAATAAAACATGGACATTGTCCTTCTCTAACATTTTAATACAGTTTGAAGTCCGGTATTGAGATCCCTCCTACTTTACCCTTCTTTCTCAGGATTGCTGTGGCTATTCGGGGTCTTTTATTGTTCCAAATGAACTGTTGGAGAGTTCTTTCTAGGTCAGTGAAATATGCCCTTGGTATTTTAATGGGGAGTGCATTGAACCTATAGATTGCTTTAGGAAGTATGGACATTTTGATGATGTTGATTCTACCAATCCATGAACATGGTATGTTCTTCCATCTCCTTACATCATCCTCTATCTCTGTTTTCAATGTCGTGTAATTTTCTGCATATAGATCCTTTACTTCCTTAGTTAAATTTATTCCTAGGTATCTTAATTTTTTTGGTGCGATGGTAAATGGAATTGCTTTTTTAGTCTCTGTTTCTGTAGTTTCACTGTTGGTGTATAGAAATGCCATGGATTTCTTGGCGTTAATTTTGTATCCTGCTACATTGCCAAATTCATTTATTAAGTCAATCAGTTTCTTAATGGAGTCTTTTGGGTTCTTTATGTACAATATCATGTCATCTGCAAATAAGGATAACTTTACTTCTTCTTTTCCAATTTGGATGCCTTTTATTTCCTCCTCTTGTCTAATTGCAATGGCTAGTACTTCCAGTACTATGTCAAACAGGAGTGGCGAAAGTGGGCATCCCTGTCTTGTTCCTGTTCTTAGAGGGAATGTGTCCTTCTCTAACATTTTAAAGGCTGAAAATTATATGAAAATATCCTCTGAGTTTTTATATAGTGCCCTATAGTTGCTGTTTCAATAATTTTTGCTTATACTTACCACAAAAGCACTGTTACTGTAGGTTGATGGGCTCTGTAGTAAAATCTGTTAAGGTATAAATAAGAGCTTGTATTTCTACTGAAATATAAGAGGTTTGAAGGACCTTTGACTCTTCCTGCAGTAGATCCAGCCTTTCTAGAACTGGATCCATCTGTAGAAATGGTTAATGCCTGAGCTATAGCATCTCTTTTAATGTGGCAGTTAATACCCTGTGCTGGAAATAAGGTAAGCCCCTTAAGTCAGGGGTCCTGGTACCCTGTTTCGTAATCTTTGCTCCCAAAGATGTGCTAGGTCTTATTTTCAGGGAATTTTTCCATGAAGAAGAATACGGTACACATTAATTGTTAAATGAAAATAAAGAAAATTTAT